TTCCAGCATTCACCACGACGCATACTGGCATGTGGAAACCATATGCACATCGTATTCTTCCACCCCACTTGAAATAATGTTTAAAAGCTTAAACATTGACACATTTCTACACGTTGAATTTTTTCGGTCACCCATTTTAATTTTTTATTATTGATTATCGAATATTCTTCTAAACGGTTTGTTGTTAACGACATGAGTTGCAAAGTAGATCCTTCCCAATTGGAGCATTATGAGTTGTTAGCTCGTAGGCGATGATGACTTACATTCTAGTAGAAACATATGCGTAAAGGATATGAGGATCAGTAGGTGTTACCAATTACCAAGTTATGTCATCGAGTAAAGTAGCATATTTGGGCTCGAGTTTCAGCGAAACCAACTAAGAAAAGCCAAGTTCGTAGAACCTATAGTATTGACTCACTTGGTACTTCAATAAGTTGCTAAAAAAAAAATTGAAGTTTGAGTCTGGGACCAATTGGCTGACCCAACTTGTTAATGCACCCCAAACTACTAACATATTGGCAGAAGTTTGAGCTCCACTGCGGGGTAAACGGGCCTAGAGTAATGAACACGTCATTATTCTGGTCCGCCAAAAGTCGATACCTTAAAGTTGCTGCTACGATGACTTACCGACTGATCTCCCCTTAAAGTTTCCCGTTAGTCCTTGAAGACACCCGTTATAACTGTTGTCAACGAGCCTGACTCAGTTGGTGCACCCATGGGCTATTGCAATATAGATGTAAGGTCGAATCCAGATGTGATCAAATGGACAAAATAAAATCATTATGAACATGGTGTGTGAAGGGCATCGCCCCGTCATTTTTGTCGCATTTAGCGGGGAAAATAGTCAACGAAATTTTTATTATTAAGGTATTTTAGTTAGTGAAAAACGGTAATAGCTGGTTCTTTATGATAACAACCTTACACTATGACCCTTTTTACTCACCTGTGGACATGATTGCAGTCCGATATATCTCATTCCTACATGTATCTAATCATATTCGTAACCCGGAGGGGTAAGATAGTGGTAATGTAAGTGCGTCCTGTATATACTAAGATAGATTCATGAATCACTGAGATCTTATGATTGTGATTTTCTTCTTTTTTCATTAGCTTTTTCGTACAAATGACCAAAGTGGTACTCATCTACTTCTCTTTAGTTAAAAAATAAATAAATAAAAATAACTACGAAATAAATCGAGCGGGCAATTCGACGCAGGTTTTAATTTTGCCACTCCACCACTTTTCCCCACTTTGCTACAAGTATCCGTAATTGATTTGTATGACCGGTCCCCCCTAGTTTATGACGGCGGAGGTAGCGGTGGTTTAGAAGTGTGTATGCGGAGGGTTTCGATTAATATTTTATTCACAATGTTCATAAAAAGTTGAACCCGGTTTCCAGCAGTGGCGCTCTCTACCAATTGAAAAGAGCATTGTGTTGTAAGTCCACTATAAGGGGATGTTCATATCACCTCGTCTAGTGGGTTGAAGCGAACCTTTTGAAGGGGCGGAAAAAAAAATTTGTGTGCACGTGTGCATGTGAGAGTGTGTTGCTGTGTCTGTGTGTGTGTATAAGAGAGAGAGATTTAAAAAAAAAAAAAAAAAAAAAAAAAATGCAATACGTGGTGGGAAGCATAAAGGTAGATGCTAACCTGGAGGGGAAAAAAAAAAAATATATTCAAATACAAAAATTTATTCTTTTCGAAATTAAAATAGAAAGGATACGCATTATATTCGAATACAACGCGTACATGGTTTATTGAAAGTGCCATTCTGTTCGAGCAAAGTGGACCTACGCCGTTTCGATTTTGAAATGTTAAATTAAATGATTCCTCGAGTTCCTACGGGCAGCGACCGGTCCTCCGCAAACAACAATTGTTTGTCGCCCATAAATTGCCTCCCTAACAAATTGACCACCCTTTCATCTACCATTTGGACTCGAACGGACGACCTGTATGACCACACGATGAAAATTTGACTAGGGGTATAAAACGCAACCCTGACGGGCTGCGAACTCGACGGGTACTAACATGGCATTAATACTTTCCTAAAGGTATCTGATTGCAACCATGCTTAACACCCAATTAAAAATGAGCCTCACTCACATACTTTTTAAGTTGTACTCACACTAAACACTCTTCCAGATGTACGAACTCAATTCTAACCAACGTGGATGAACTGTGACCAGGTTTAAAACTCAGTCGAAAAGGTCCTTGTGTAACTACACCCTTAGTAGTATGTGTACTAATCCACTTTTAAAAGACGCATCGAAAGACACAAGTTAAAAGGTGTTGGTTCGATTACCACGTCACTTGCCCTACCTTACTAACCAAGAGTTCCGCCTAGTGAAGTCATTAATAAGGATAAGACACCTTTTCCTAGTCGACCGAGCAACCAATCCAAATCATAACATAACTAATTCCTCTTAGTCATACCCAGGTTTGGATCTAGACGCCTAAAAACTTACAAACAGGTTGGCAACATAACCAAAGTTTTACTCATCCTTTTGGTGATCATCTCTTAGTCGTCCGATCAAAAGATATGGCAGTATACTCTAGCATCAGTCTAGCTACCTGAGCCACATGATGGTCGGGCATACTCAGGCATACTCCCTATAATACTAATCCTTCTATTTGATCAATGTTCTCGCGTATGGTCGAGGCATGTAATAATTTTGACCTCTCCCGACGCTTGCCATGATCATGCATCGAGTTGTGGTCACCACGCTGCCATACGTAGGATAGCATTTCACGACACAACTGACCCTTCGGCCGTATCGGTTGAGCGGGGCTTTAATGATCCCAATCACTTACCTTCCCTAAGACCATCGCGTGCGCGTTTTGACAAATTTTCACTTTCATTCGCCATGCCCGCTATGGATGAATAAATTATTTGAACTGTGAAATAGATCGCGGAAGGAATTTGACCCGTTTTCCATTGTTTCCATTCAACCTCTCTCTCTTTCATTGTCCCTTATTTGTTGATATGAGTGAGAAAAAGAGACAGAGAGTGAGAGATAGGAAAAAAAAAAATAGAGAGATAGGGAGGGGGGGGGTTACCAAGGAGAGAGAGGGAGAGAAAGAAAAAGAGAAATAGGTTGAATGACAAAATTGAAATATAGGTTAAATTGCGACCGCAATCTATTTCATAGTTGAAATGTTTTTTAAAAAGTTATTTAGCAGTTTTCCTGGAAAAATCACAATAAAATCTACGAGTAATCCAATTTTCAGGTTTTTTTACGCATTCTTCTAAGCATGAAAACTCACTGAATTTGGAATACTTTTTTAGTTGGCCCACACATGGTTGAGTGGCAAAAATAGGAAATGTGCCGAATTGGTGCGAGGATTATTTAACGGTTCAAATAATTTTTGAAAATATTATGATATTTTTTTATGGAAAGAAGACAAACTCATCTATGGATTCTCAAAATTTCAAACTTTTTAGCTGATTCCTCCGAGCACAAAGTTGCGTTTTGCAAAACACCTATTTCGTTGCGCCTAACCTCCCTATTTTGAGAAAACGGGCCCCAACACTTGGGCCTGAGGGCCCTTTTGCAGTTCCTCACGTCTTGTTGGGGTCCGTTTCCACCCGAGGACCGGTCCTTCGTTTTTCCAAAAATCCCAGTTCTACAAGAGCTATCTGTATGTAGTCCGCAATATCTTCCCCCAATTTCTCCCCTCCCTTAAGAACCTACTTGCAATGTGGGCGCCCGCCGCCAAAAATACAACATCTTGACACAGATGCCGAGGCCCACTATACCACAACGTTAGGGCTGCGAATTGTGATTTTTTTTGGGAAAAATATTAAAGAAAAAAAATAAAAAATTGAATCATAAAATAAATCGCAACAGTAATTTGACCCATTGTCCAATTTTTCCATTCAGTCTCCCTCTCTCTCTCTCTCTCTTTTTTTTTTTTTTTGGTATGGATGAAAAAATCTGAAAATTTGAGTGCTCGCAAATTAGATTTTATTGTGATATTTCCAGGCGAAAAAAATAAAAAATAAAATCATTCAACTGTGAAATAGATCGAGGCGGCAATTTTTGACCCATTTTACATTTTTGCAATTCAGCTTCTCTCTGTTCTCTCTCTCTCTCTCTCTCTCTCTCTCTCTCTCTCTCTCTCTCTCTCTCTCTTTGTGGTAGCCGCCCCCGCCCCCCCGCTGCCCACTCTTCGAGCCTCTTGCGCGCACGTGCTTAGCCCCATCGCTTTCGCCCATTGGGCCAGACTCACAATTTGCAACCCTAAAGGCTGCGGCATGGTGGGTTCGAGCATGTGTTTGCAGCACAATGGCTGCACGGAAGGGAACACATTAGCCCCCCCGTGCCCTCTCTCTCTCTCTCTCTCTCTCTTTCTAAAAGAAAAACAAAGAAACATAATCCCTGAGGGCTGGGTTCCCTGCACCCACGGCTGGGGCAAGGTCCCACTTGCACGGATAAGGAGATTTCGGCCCTTGATCTCGGCTATCTACGGTCTATATCTCTCAATTCGTGCAAGTGCGACCTAGACCCCGGCCAGGACCAAGAAGCGGGCTCACAGATGAGTCTCAAGAGCAGGAGGGGGGGGTAGCAGGGAGGGTTGTGTTGTGTCCACTTGATGCCGAAGCAATCTTCGGTCAGCCTCCGCAGTCAACTTCTGCTGGCCGTAGGTGAATATCCATGCTCGACTTTGTTCTGGAAGTTGGCAGGACCACACCACCTTACGCTGAGATGTTCTCGAAGTTGGCAGGACCACACCACCCTACGGCGAGAGAATTCGGGAAGGAAAAGAAAAGGAGCGCGCGCCGTAGTTTTGGCCCTTCGCGATGCGACAGGCGCTCACGACCAATGTGTCGCACTGTCCATGGGACGGGCGGGCAACGAGTTGTCGCTCATGGAGAGCCGGTTCCACTCGCCGGCGACGCGGCTCTTGGAACGGTGGCTGCCGAACCGGTCGCCCAAAGGGGAGTCCGTTGGCCCACGCTTCGACGGTCGCGTACAGAGGAGGGTGGCGATCGGGTCTTGGGGCCTGCGTGGCAATCGTCGACATCAGGAGAGGACCTGCCCCGCCGTTTGCCTGCGTGGACACCTGATGACTGACTTGCCTACGGCTTTCGCAAGGAGGGGTATCCTGATTCGTCTCCTCTTTTATTCGGTCGGTGCCTCTCGCACGCGTTGTTTCGGAGAAGGAAATGCAAAGAGCGACCAAACACAAACACGGGCGGGGGCGAGAGTGATAGTGAGAGTGAGCACAGCGAATCGGGGTAGGTGAGAGAAAGGGATAGTGACAGGTTCTACTGAGGGGAACAGGGTTTGTTAATCCGCCGAAGCGTTGCGGGCGAGACGCGGACGGGCAGCAAACAAGGCAATACGCTGTGAAAGTCAAAGCACGTTCATTCTGTGGGGAATTGGAAACAGTGACCGACTGGGTAATCCTGTTGGGGGAGGAAGGCGAGGAAAGGAAACTTGTCCTGCCGGGGGGCAAAAGAGAGGAACGGAGAGAAGGATAGCGTGCTGGAGAGAAGGACAGCGTGGTGGAGAGAAGGAGAGCGCTAGAGAGGAGAGAGGTGGTCGTTTAGTTCGAAGGGTTCTTACTTTATTAGTCGTAGGCGGGAAAGGGCTGCTGGAGGATGAGGAAAGAGAATTAATGGGTTTTTGTTTATGTTCGGCAGCTCGTGGATTTTTACTATGCCATTATTAGAGAAGAAGCCATAGCCAGGGCCCCAGTCAGCAGCCCTCGGCTTAACAGCAGGACGGCGCTTCTCAAGCTATCTCGCACACGGGATAATAAAGACGGGGACGAGGGGGGGGAGGGAGTGTGTGTGTGTGTGTGTGTGTGAGAGAGAGAGAGAGAGAGAGAGAGAGTCTGAGAGAGAGAGAGAGAGAGAGAGAGAGAGAGAGAGAGAGAGAATAGAGGAGCAGACGGGTAGTAAGAGCTAGTAGGCAAAGGAGAAGGCAAGTCTGAGTGGGGTTCTCAAGGGTGGCTGACATATTGGGACCTCGAATTGGCAGACGGATAGTAAGGCTAGTCTGGACAGTTTAATGCTCAGATATGGCAGCCGGGGCAGAGTTTTCTCAGGGGGCGGGTGTTGTAGATGTCGTAACGGTGAAGATAAAAGATAAGGAGCTGGCTAACGGCGTGCCTGAAAAGGACAGAGAGGAGAATGGAGGCAGCAAGAAGGAGCAGCAGCAGCAGCAGCAGGCGGATCAGGCGCCGTCGCAGCAACAGCGTCCCCAGGACGAGCAGGATCAGAAAGATGTCTACTCTAACGGAACGTCGGTGAGTAACGGATTGATCGTTAACGGGACGGCTAACGGCACGAAGAACAGTGATGATGTCTCTCTCGATTCTCCCAATGGTCGAACTGCAAGCAAGCCTCCACGTCCCGGCGGCGGGCTGGGACGTCGTTGTCAAAGCTCTGCCATGCTCATGACAGCTGCTATGGACTCTCCGCACGCGGTATGTGATTTGTCTAATCTGACTAGCAATTTAATTCACAAATTATAGTCCTCACCATTTGTCTTCTGAGCACGTGTGTGTGTGTGTGTGTGTGTGTGTGTGTGTGTGTGTGTGTGATGGGAGGGGGGGCGGGAGGGGGGGAGGGGCGAAGCGAGGATGCGGATTTGTCCGTTGAGATCCCATTTTGACGGCCATGGCCATTTGCTGCGGTGCACGGGCGCGTGGTGGAGTAAGAATTTACGACGTAAACCTGTACGCAGTCAATTCAGATGAGACGACCAGGCCGAGACATACGGCGCGACTATTCGTTGAGAGCGAATTCGCGAGAAAATGACTGAGGGAGCGAATTTTCGCCCAAAAAAATAGTCAGGGAGGGAATTCGCTCCTCGCTCTTTTCGTTCTTCGCTCTTTTCGTTCTTCGCCAGAAAATTAACGAGGGAGCGAATTCGGCCGAAGGTTACGCAGGAGGGAGTAACGTGGTTGTTGACAGAGCAACAGAGGGGCGTTTCACTGAAGACAAAAGCTGGATCTGCTTACGCCGTCTCGAGAGAAGTCGCTGTATGTGTCTCTGTCTGTCTGATGAGCTGGCGGGGGATTTGCGGATAGCCGCCGTGGCCATATGAATTGGTATTACAGTATGTCTGAGCATGAGAGATGTTTGGCTTCGCTAGTGTAAACCACGACGTGGAACTGAGAGCATCGAACAGGGCACGTATGGTTTTCTTCATCCACTCGCTAGTGTACACGACGGTGAACTGGAAGCATCAAGCTGTATCGACGTTCGGGGCACGTATGGTTCTCTTCATGCTCTCGCTGCACCGTTGATGTCCAGCTGTAATGGCTCCAAATACTACACACGGAAGAGAATGGGGAAGACGCACTATTCTTCTCGGCGATTCTGCAGCGCTTCCTGTAGTGATGAGCTATCGTCTTCCGCCGAACGTGACGCACCCTAAAAATGAATGTATACAAGCTATATTTCCGGCCAGATACTGCCAAAATAAGGGTGCGTTGTGTTCGGGGGCAGACGCTAGTGCAACTGCTCGCCAGGGGGGACATAAGTGACGAATGGACTGAGACTTCGACTGTGGACGTTAAGCACCTCTTCCACCTATTATTGGGAGGAGGGAGGAGTCTGTCTTGCAGCTGTAGCGTCAATTGGGATCTTTTACAGTAGTTCTTTCCCGTTGATACTGTTTACATCTCTCCAGAACACAGCACTTCCTCTCTCTCTCTCTCGATAGGATGTGAGCGTGATGCGTACCTCTTGTTTACGCGGCGAATAAAGCGTTAATTGGGGTCTTTTACAGTAGTTCTTTCCCGTTTATACCGTTTACATCTCTCCAGAACACAGCACTTCCTCTCTATCTCTCTCAATAGGATGTGATCGTGCTGCGTACCTCTTATTCACTTCTCTCTCTCTCTCTCTCTCTCTCCTTTTTTTCGAATGCCAACTGTCCGATCTCTCGGTCTGATCTTCCGGATTCACCTCTTCTCCGGTGGTCATGTGCCTCTCCTAACTTGGCTGCTGCTCTGCTCCTCTGTGTGTCAGCAGCTTTCATGTCTTATTATTCTCTCTCGTGCGTCCCTTCTGAACGTGCTCTCCTGTGCGCCTGTACTGCATCTTATTGGCGTCTCTCCATGGAGTGTGGGTTCGCTCGATATATATTCGTCTCGTCGTATCTCTGCGGCAAACTGTGTATCGCTTGGTCGCAGGCCTGCCTCCCGTAAATCTCCGCGTCTGTCATCCCTCTCTCTCTCGTTTGCGGATTGCCTCGCGATAAACCCACCCGTGCTGCTCGTGCACGTCTTCCCTTCCTCGGTCGTCGGTCGCCACTCAGCTTTTGTGTTGTGCTTTCGCTAATTTCCTGTTCTGTGTGTACCTCCTCTCGTTCGTGCTTCGTTGTATCGTTTTTTCTCCTCTGTCACGCATGTAGAAGAGATCTTCCGTGTACTGATTTCGTGGCTGTCCGTTGTCTGACGTTCTCGGCAGCCCCTATGTCCTTTAGTCTTCTGCATCTTTTGTCAATTCTTTCGCCCCTCTCTCGAGTTCTTTGTCGCGTCTCACGCCCGTTTGTATCCTCTTTCCGCTCTCGGGAGTGTCGTGGCATTCTCTCGTGTTTGATCGAGACAGCTCTTTCGCGCCTTAGGCGGCTCTCTTGTGGCCCGCCGCGTCGTACCTCTTGTGGCTCTAGTCTCCGCTCTCTGGGCTCTCTCAACGGTCTGAACGTTCTCTGACAGAATTGTTATGTTTCTGTGTACCGCTTCTTCATCAACTCTCCCGTATCTTTTGCATCGTGTGCTTCTGATTATGCCGTGTTTTCACCTTGGTGCGTTTTTCTGATACACGTCTGTCTTGTGTCGTGGTGTTGATTTGGGTGAATCTCTAGCGCGGCTCGTCTGTTCTCTCATCTCTCTGGTGCCTTTCCGGGGTCTCCCTTCCCTCTTTGCGTGCCATTCCCATCACCCCCAGTGTTTCTCCTGTGTCTCTCTCTTATATATGATCACGCACGTCTCCTCTGTCACTAGTCCTTCCGTCTGAATATGTATCGGGTCTCGTTTGTCTCGTTCCTGTCATGCTTATGTGTTTCTCACATTTTCTGTCGTGTTTCTGTACCTTGTGCTTCTGTGTGATGCTGGGTGATAATTTATGGCGCTAAATTTTTTGTGCTTCTCATCTTTGGGCTTTCATTCCCTCTCGTTGACGATTGCTCATCTGTCCTCTCTCGTGTCTACGGTTGTTTTCTCTCATGTGACACGTCTGTCTCGTTTCGTGCGGTCTGGGTATGGCTCTTTTCGGCCTCTCCGTGCCCTCAATTCTCATGCCTGTTATTTCTCTGTTAGAGTCAGTCTAGCTTGTCCATCTTGTGTCCCTCAGTTCTCCCAACTCGTATAAAGTTTTCTCTCTTCCGGTCTCTCTTTCCTGTATTGTTGTCGCGGTTCTGTCCGTTTACTCAGGCATCTCTTCCCGCGTGCTTCTCTCGCTCCCCATGCCTCCCCCGCCGTGCCTCCTCCCCGCCGTGCGTCTTCCCCGTGCCTCTCCCCCCGTGCCTCCTCTGCCTCCTCTCCTGCCCCCTCCTGCCTCTGCCCCCCCTCCCGTGTCTTCCCTCGTGCCGCCACCCCGTGCGGCCTCGTGCTTTCCCTCTCTGCCTCCCTCCCGTGACGTCCACCCCGTGCCTACCCGCCGGGGCCCCCCCCCCCCCCCCCCCCCCCCCCCCCCCCCGGGCCTCCTCCCCCGTGCTTCTCCCCCTGCCTGCGTCCTTGCCCGTCCCTCCCCCAGCCCTCTTCGACCGTAACCCTTGACCGTGCCGCTGTCTCCGACTGTCCGCTCTCTACTATGCCGCTCTCTGACTCTGCCCCTCTCCGGCCGTGTCTCTCTCGCGCGACCGTGCCTCTCCCCCGACCGCGGCTCTCTCCCCCCTCATGCCTCTTCCCACGTCCCTCTACCCCGCGTCCCTGGCCCGCGTCCCCTCCGCCCACGTGCCCCTCCGCCCACGTGCCCCTCCGCCCACGTGCCCCTTCCCCCAACGCGCCTCTCTTCCTCTCGCGCGTTTTTTGCCGCCCCTCCTGGTGCCTCCTTTCTCGCGCCTCCCCCTCCCGTACCTCTGCGACCGTGCCTCCTTCCTCGCATACCTCTGGGACCATTCCTCCTTCCCCGCGTGCCCCTCTGCGTTCCCTTCACGTCCTCGTGCGCGTTCTCCCTTTGCATCTCTCTCGCTTGGCTTCCCTCGTTTCTCCTTGCCCGCGCCTTCCCTTCACGCGTTTTCGCCCGTTGTGCCTCTCCCCGTGTCTCCCCCTGTTGGGTTCTCCTTTCGGCGCCTGCCTCCCCTCTCCTGAGCCTGCCTCTTTCCCCCCCTATGTTTGCCTCCTCCTGTTCCTATGCCTGCCTCCTTGTCCTCGTCTACCTGCCTCCTGTCATAATGTATCTGCCTCCTCCTCCCTCTGGCTCCTTTTCGTGTGCATGCCTCTCGCCCACAGTACCCACGTTTTCTTTTTGTGGAGACCCCCTCTCTCCGCAGCAAGGCCGCTTGCCCTGTGCTAGCGCCTTGCCTCGGCCTACCCCCGCGCGCTTCCTCCACCTTTCACGTGTGCCCGCCTCCATCACATTCGTGTGTCGCCTGTTTCTCCTCATACGCCCCCCTCTCCCCGTCCGTGCGCCCGCTGTGCCGCCTCTCCCCGCCCTTTTTGGTTCGTCTTGCTTCCCATCCATTGCCCACTATCCCCGTGCGTGTCTCACGTCCGTGCGTGCATCTCTGTCTTCCCCGCGATTTCTCTCTCCTCTGTGCGCCTTTCTGCTGTGCGTGTTCTGCCGGGGGTGTGCCTCTCCGCATGAGCACCTCTCACTCCCCACCCCTGCCTGTCGCCGGCGTGTCTGTCCACGTGTTTGCGCGTCTTTGCGTCTCTCCCTGTTCCCTTTGACTCAGTATATCTCTTTACGTCATCTGTCACTCTTGACGTGTCGGCGCCGCTGCCGCTCTATCTATGGCTGCTTGCCAGCATGTCTCCCCGTGCCTGGGCGTCTTCCTCTGCACGACCCTCCCGCCGGGCGTGCGCATCGTACCTGTGCCTACCCTGCCGGGACCTCGTTCCCCGTGCATGCGCCTCCATCCTTTGTGCTTACCCAGACGTGTTACTTTCTCAGTCCATTCAGCTCCTTCCATCTCTTCCCCTTCAGTCTCTCCTGCTCGTACGTTGTCACCGTCCCTTTGGCCCTTCTCTCCTTCTGTTTCTCTCCTTTCCCCTCTCCCCGCGTCTTACCCGGCCTTCCCTATCCTCTCCTTTCTCCTCTCCCAGCGTCTTACGTCCGCTTCTCTATTCTCTCCTTTCTTCTCTCGCCGCGTCTTACTCCCCCTTCCCTATCGCCCAGTCGCAGCAGGCCTCTCAATGCCTCCCTCTGCGGTCTTTCGACCGCCTCTTTCCCAGTGTTTTCCCCGATTCTCTTTTGCCCGCGTTTTCGCGTTCCACACTTTGCCACTTACTTCCCGTGTCGCTCGCCTATTCTTTGTCCCAGCACTCCCTCGCCCGCGTGTCCCTCTCCTATTCTTTCTCCCTACGTTCTCCGTGTGACTCCCTTCCCTTCTCCCTCACCCTGCGGTGTTTGCCCTGTCGCTGCCGTGCTGCTCTCTCGATCCGTATCCATCCCCCTCATGCCGGTCCGTCTCTCTCCCTGCCGTATCCCTCTTACCCTCGTCTTCTCTCTCGCTCCCATGTCCCTCTCTCTGCTCTGCGTCTCCCCCCCCTCCACGCCCCTCTTTTCCCCTTCTTCCGGTATCGCCCTTGTCTCTTTCCCCACTGGTCCCCTTTGTCCCTGTCTGACCGCGGACCCTGTCTCCCCAACGTGTCCAATCTCTACCCGGCATGTCCCCGTCTTCCCGGCGTGTCCCTGTTACTCAGGCGTGTCTCTGTCCGTTTGTTCTGTCCGACTCGGTTTCCTCGCCCTGCATGTTGCGGAAGGCTGTTTCTTTTCGCCGACGATGTTGCTCTCTTGTACTGAGTTTCTGTCTCCTGCCCTCGGTTTCCCTCTCCTACCCCTTGCGCTGCTCTTTCATTCCGTCTTGTCCTCTCTCTCCCGTTGTGTTCGTTCTCCCCTCGGACATCCGAATAGAACGCATGCACGGTAATTATGGCCGTATCTGGATTGGACGTTGCACCAAATTTGGTGCGAGCGGGATGAAACGTACTCAGCGGGGTCTCTGTTGCCCTGAATCAGATACCCCCTGAATCTCGGATACCGGCGGTCTAAAGTGTCTGGATTGGCGGAAGCTCTTTTCTCGCTGGGCTATGGCCTCCTTCTTATCAGAGATTCCACGACTAGAATGGTTCATATATATTCGGCTTACTGCGAATTCGACAGGACAAGAGCATGCCGGAAAAGGACAAGTGAGGGGATATCGATCGCTAGCACAAACTACCCAAGATGCTTGTTCGAGTTCACTATTGTTTTACGAGATGAACCTGGTCATGTTATGCTTAATCGAAGCATCTTTCGGAATTGCTCAACCCCCCAGACAATAGATAGCGCGCGATCGTACGCTGAGGTGCCTCTCACCTGGTGGTGGATATGCTCACCTAGTAGGTTTGAGTTGAAAGAGGCAGATTACCCAATTAATTGATCAGAGATTCGAAGACTAGAATGGTTCTTATTGTCATCTGACTTTTTTTGCATCCTTTTGTTATGTGTCTTCTGGTTGCTGAGGCGAGGGTGGGTGAAACGGGGGCAGCAGATGATACCTTTTTTTTGCTACCGGTCGTTGCGGGACTGAATTACCGGCTCTTTTATTTGCTGGGAAACAGTACCGTCTTCACACACCCGAATAGAACGCATGCACGGTAATTACTGTCTCTTATACACATCTAGATGTGTATAAGAGACAGGTTTATTCGAGTTAAAAAGGGTAGATGGGAAACAGTACCGTCTTCACACACCCGAATAGAACGCATGCACGGTAATTATGGCCGTATCTGGATTGGATGTTGGACCAAATTCAGATCGAATCGCCGTGCGGTTTAATCGGGTGGGTTAAAAAGGGTAGAGGTTTTCCGAGATCAACTTGGTTGTTTCAAGGCGACTACACTAACGGCCTGAAGTTGTTTCACGTATAAGTCTCTGAGGATCCTACACAGACATGTTGGTTTCCTGCGGATTATGCCCATTTACATTTCAGTAAGGTGAACTCGTACATGTATCGAATTTGACACACAAAACAAAGGGCCTAAGGCCAGAGCACGTTCCCGCATATAGTGAAATTTTATTTGAGCCTAGACAACCCAACTCACATCTTTTGCTTGTTGATACGGTGACCAGTTGAAGGCTGTCCTTTTACTGTCTGCAAAGAACTGGCAAAACTCTTTTTTCTTTCTCTTAAGTAGACAAACGAACATGCATGCGCTTTTGTTTCCTGAAGAAGACTGACGAAACTCCTTGTGGTGAAATTGAACAGGTATCGTCAGTTTCATTGGACAGGCTCCAGCTGAAAGAGCCCGCTGTCAGCCGATGGTCGGGATTTAAACCTGTGATCAGATCAGGTGGATATGCTGACATCGGGGGGCGAATGTTCATGGAGGATGCTCATGTCCGCATAGATGACATCTCCGAACACGTGAGGAGTTTCGAATTCAACGAATGGCCCAGAGCTTTCTTCGGGGTGAGTAAAGGTGGAACAATTCCCCTCCCCTCCCCTCCCCTCCACTCCCCTATTTATCGCTCTTGAAATCTTTGGACGAATCTTTTGGACGTCTGTCTGTCGTTCTTACACCGATGCATGAATCTATGAAGCAGCTCGCGGAGATTTATAGCTATCGATCGTATGTTTATCATCTTTATCTATATATCTATAATAATATGTGTATAAAGTAGCTATCTATATCTATAATAATATATGTATGAAGTAGTTATCTATATCTATAATAATATATGTATAAAGTAGATATCTATATCTATTGTAATTACATGTATAAGGTAGCGCACTTGGATGTATCGCTGCTGTATGTTTTTGTCGATAAAAACGTGAGTTTCTTAGCGATTGTGTGCACGTGTCAGTACATGTTTACGTGTGTACGTGTTTGGTAGGTGCATATATATAGTAAGTTTTGTAATTATGTATGTGAAGTGCGTTTTGTGCCATGTCTGTATGTGCTTATGTAGGCGAATTGTGTTTTTACATGCCGTGTTTGGGTCTCGGAAATACTGGGTTGCAGAAGGGGGTTGTTTAATTTCTTTCGAGGGATGGGGTACCTGGAAACCGACATCTTTCTGGTCTTGCTGGGTGTCGGAAAGACGGGTGCAGAAGGGTTGTTTAATTTCTTTTGAGGGATGGGGTACCTGGAAACCGACATCTCCCTGGTCATGCTGTCATGTGGTGGGGTGCAGAAGGGTTGTTTAATTTCTTTTGAGGGATGGGGTACCTGGAAACCGACATCTTCCTGGTCTTGCTGGGTGTCGGAAAGACCGGGGTGCAGAAGGGTTGTTTAATTTCTTTTGAGGGATGGGGTACCTGGAAACCGACAGCTCCCTGGTCTTGCTGTCATGTGGCGTGGCGGGAATGCTTACGGTGATTTGTGTGCCTGAAATGGGAGGAAGATAAAGACAGAGATGCACGCATGGGAGACCGCACTTCGCCGCCGAGTCTTCCCGGAGTTTGGTGTGCATTAACTAACTTGCCCGGAGTTTGGTGTGCATTGACTTTTGAGAGGTCCACCTTTCGTATGTCCGGGAAAGGGTTGGGAAGTCTTTTTTTGAACGGCCGGCTTCTGTTAGATTGGAGAGTGCACATGGCTTAGTGGTGAGGAGGTATAAATTGTTGAGCATATTGATGTACTTGCACTCGTGTAGGCGGCACTATGTGAACTGGGGTCTATGTGAAGTGAGGTCACCTATTGGTCTGTGTTTGCTTTGGAAGCCCGGCTTAGGCTTTAGTGGGACGATTGTCAAATCTTAAATGACCCTATGGTCTTCACCCGAATAAACGCCCTGTATCCAAAGGGGGAATTTTCCCAAATACAGCTAGTATGACCGGGCGTTCTGTTCGGGTGAAGACGGTTATGGTTTTGCTTGTGTGTCTGAGTACATGATTCACCGCTTTAGTCTTCCCAAATGTGATTCACTGCTTTCGTCTTGCCAAATGTTCCCATGGCTTGTCATAAACTTAAGGGCGAAAATGATGCAAAGATGGTTTTCGTGTGGAGGGGACTGTGGGTGGTGTCAACGATCGGTGTTCTTTTGTTTGTACCTGTCTGTCTCAGTCTGTCTCAGTGTGTATCTCTATTTTGGTCTGTATGTCTGTGTGGTACCACGATCTTAGCAAACACAATGTGGCGGCAATACCGGTCCGTAGGAGCCGTTTCGATGGCTGGCATCAGATGGAAATAACAGGTTCATGCTACATGTCGATTTCTCTTGGAAGCTTACGCGTCTTCACCCGAATATAATGTATGGTTACTATGCCGAATTTTTGTGGTGAACTGTGTCCAGATACGGGGATGATGATCGGATTAGTGAAAGGTATCATCTGATGCTTGAGGACTTGGAACCGACGACCCAATAGATGATGGGGTGAGCAGTGTGTGTAATCTGACTGAATACGTTGGATGTATTATATGATTGCAGGTCTTCAATGGACGTTATGGCCGAATTGTGGTGGACTGTGTCAAGATACAGCGATAATGACCGCGCCTTCTATTCGGGTTCTAGGGTAGCGGTTGTGACAGAATGCCATGTGATTCTTGAGGATTTGAACGAACGATCCGGTGGATGCGGCGAGCAGTCTGTGTGATGATGTAATCTGACTAAATATGTGGGACATGTATGATGATTGCAGGTCTTCGATGGACATGGCGGACAATGCGCGGCCGAATTTGTGAGCAATCGCCTGCTGCGGTATATAGTGGAAGACGCCGACTTCCCGAGGGATGTGGAGTCTGCCGTTCGACAGGCATTTCATAGGACAGATCTGGAGTTTGACTTGGAGTGTGGAGCTGGCAGGGCACATCCCTCGGGTACTACTGCTCTGACTGCGCTTGTGTATGGAAGGTGAGGGACAGACTCAGACCCAATAATTTGTCGTGCTCTCTGTTCTTTCGTGTCCTCTGGTATTGGGAGCATGTGTATGAAGAAAGTTGGGCACTGTCGTCGATTTTGTAGATTTCTTCCCGTCTTATGGGTTGATGGGCAACTGTATTGTAATGATTCTGTGCCATTGTGTCGTTTTTTTTATCCTATAGGCAGGCCACTTTGTTGTTGCAAATGTGTTGGAAATTCCGTCGAAGTGCTAGTAGTACATGGCCCTAGCCTTGCAGACAAAGAACTCGACGCCTACTCTGAAAAGTTGGGGCTCAGGGAAGGCCGGGGAAGGCCGGGTAGTGCAACGGGGGAGGAAGCCAGTGCGCCCAAGGAAAGAGAGCGAATGACCTGCAATATGTCCTGCTGGTTTATGCGTGCATGTGGAAACACATGCACGGCCGTGTGCGGCTGCAGAAGATCGAGAACGAAGGGCTGAAGCAAGAAAAGAAAGAAAAGGAAGAAAAGAAAGAAAAGAAAGATTTCAGGGTGTTTTCACGTGACCACCTTGTGGAATGTATCTGACTGAGTTATTGCCCGCTTTGGATGAATTTGAAAGCAATCACGTTCAGAGCGTGCCCTTTTTTTTTTTTTTTTGGGGTGAGAAAGAAGAAAATCGGCTGTCTGATGTGGAGCGATCCAGTGCCTGCCAACCCCTCACATTTCAGGTCAGTCTCACACTGGCTCTTTCCAGAATGTATCTGACTGCACTTGTCACTTATGGTGCACCCTTGATGAATCGATAGGTAATCACCTTAACAGCTTAGTATGCTGTTATTATTTCTGTTTCTGATGTGACGCCTTGTGAGAGATGGGGAGCAATCGGTGTCCTGCAAGCCCCTTCCATTCAGGGCATTCTCATGCTAGCACTTTCCAGAATGTATCTGAACGTAGTTATGGCCATTCCTGTGGGATGGTACGAGTGAAAACGAGAAAAGAGACTACGAGGGCCGCAGAAATTCCAGCTGCTGGCAGAAGCCCCAGCATAGGGACTGATACTGCCGCCGGTGGACAAATTTCCCCTTATCAGTTCCCACCAACTCGGCGTGAGGGGGCATGTAGGTTTGGTAAAACAGGCCCGGCCCGGGTGTACTGTTGGTTTAAGGCTAGCTGGCTTTAGGCTAGCTGTCAGAGTAAAGTCTGGACAATTGCTCGTGAGTTGGAAAGATGGTTTGGTTGTTAACGCTGGCAGGGACAAGTCTACCGTCTTCACCCGACTAGGAGGCGGTACGGTTACTCTCTGTATCTAGAATGCCCATATACAGCTATAATGACTGGGCATTCTATTGGTGAGAAGACCGTAGGCAATCTGGTCGTGTTTGTTACATTGGTCTTTGCTGCTCGCTATGTTTCAGGCGGTTCTAGGGAGCTTATTGTGCAGATCTGCTGGAGGTCCAGGGGATTCTCGATGATCGGATGGTGGAGGTAACTAACTGTTGGGGCGTGAATGCCTTTATGGTGTGCTTTTCTGTTTTTTTTTTTTTTTTTTTTTTATGCAGGACCTTGTTCGTAGCTAATGTTGGAGACTGCAGGGCTGTTCTCTGCAAGAGGGGCAGGGCAGTGGAGCTATCCCGCGATCACAAGCCTTGTTGCGCTTTTGAGCGTGCTCGTATTGAGGCCTTGGGAGGGTGAGTAGACATGTTCTATCCCCCCTGTCGCCGGTAAGAGCGTAGGATTCTCAGTTCCGTGTGGTTGGCATGGCTGGCTGTGGATGACATCTCGAGGGTCTGAATACTTGTTGGCATGACCGCCACTTGAGATTCCCTTTTCAGAGTGCGAGTTGGTTTTCAATGTATTGATCATCTCATAAGAGCAAAGGCCTCGGTTCTGGGAAAGAATGGACAACGGCTGCCAATACAGTGCCTTCTGTTAGGGATTTGGGGGGTTTCTGGCGCACGGAATGTTTTTGTATGCCGCTGTACTTCGGTCTCAGAGAATGAGTAGTCGTCCCCCACACAAGTGCAAGGAATCATGCAAGGAGAACACCGCTTTCCCAGGACGTAAAATCACAAAGAAGACCAAACGTGACTGAGCTGAGTTGAAAGCAGAAAACCAAATCGGAATGCAAACCAGCTAGCAGCAAACAGAACACTGCAGTCTCTTCGTACGTGAAATGTGAAACCCGCCTTCCGCTTCCAATCATCAATGCATCAACAGTGTAGTGGTTTTACCACTGTACTCTGCTCATGCTAGCCTCTACCACCTCACTCTCTGTCTGCATGTCTCTCACCCAATGCAGCTTGAAGACTGCTCACACAGGCTTAGTCCACCAACACCAGGTAAGAACTGCCAGTCTGGATTCACTCACAGGCACGACGGCTGCTCTCCTCCTCGGGCACTGCTCTCCTGCATGCATGCTGCGCAACAGCAATCTGCCCGAGTGTGCTCTCCCTTGCTGCGTCCTGTAGTGGAGTTCCACGGGCGAAGGTGCTTCGGTGCGTAGCCTGAGCATGAATGGTCTGGGGGTTGTCCGGAAACACAGGTGCTTTGCATAGAAGGATGGGGGAATGGGAGCGGCATTGGGGGAATCAGGCAGGGAACGTGGGCAAGTAGCCTGAGCACGAAGTGTTTGCAACCACAAAAATGCTCTGGGACAGAAGTGGGGAGAGCGTTTGCAATGACGTATCTGGAGAAGGCTACCTCTATTAAGTCTTGTGGCTGAATGGTACACCCATGCATGCCTGCATGCTGTGTATTAAACTGACCTGAGTTTAAATCCTGATGGGCTCACATGAACAAATTATCTATGAAGTATCACGGGCCGTTCAGTTGGATGAAGACGCGTCAAGGTCATCATCTGTGAGACAAAAATGAATTGCAAAAATTGAGGTCATCTGTGTGGCCAAGATTCTGGTCCAGAAGTAAGCTCTAGAATTTTTGAAAGCTTGTCGAGGATGCTTGGGAGATGAATGCGGTTTTCAGGGAGCTTTGGTTGGCAAAATGGCAGGAGGAATTTCAAGTGAAAGGAGAGGAAGGTTGGGGG